ATCGGAAGATTTGCATCTACAACAGAAAGAGTCAATCTTTCATCCCACTCAGGATTCACATTCCTCTTCACCACTCGAGTTTTCAACTTCTGCAATATCAGAAAATTGGTTTCATAAGCAATCAATTGAAATGAACAAGCATCAACTCAAAACCCAGAAACCCATGAGTCCAAATGGATCAAGATTCAAGAAAAAAGAAAAGAAAAATCGACCATTTTCATGATCAAAGAAATGAGTTACCTGCTTGCCCATTTTGATAACAACATAAGGGTCACTGCTTCTCATGTCTCTAACAGCAAGGTTCACTCCTCTTTGGATGTGAATCCTCAGAAGACCCATCAAGTTCTCCATCAAATATTAGATCAAGATCAGATTAATCAAACTGGGTTTATGGTTTTCACAATTCAAGTAGCACCGAAAATCCCAAAGGAATTTAAAGGCTCTGTTTCTAAACAGTTGGATGAGTCTCGTTTTAAGCTTTCCTTGCCTTTTATACACACAAGTTTGTGAAGGCTATGGCTTTGTGATTTAGCTAGAAGCTTCCCATTATCCCATACGCCTTTAATATTTTCAACGTGAGTTATGCTTCCAATCAACATCAAAACCAGCAAGTCTCACGCGCTCCTGTAGACTTTTTCACTTTGCCTTTCCTTCGTTCTTCCTTTTTCTCTTTCATTTTGCATTTTTTTATTTAGAGTGTGTGCAAAGTTTGACTTGGGGTAGACTGGCTTACGGGTCGGGTTTGGTTTAAGTGGGCGGGTTTTTATTTGTTTATAATTGACCGGGCAATCCAAGGCGTCAGATTGTGGGCTTGTTTGATTCAACTCGTCTTGCACTGTACGAGATTACAGCAAGTATAATTAATGTAAATATGTATGTAATTAGGTGTTTCCTAATCATATCTTTAATAATAATAATACTGTGTTACAGTTGGTCATTCACAGTGAAATGTGGGAGAGGATCGATAATGACAAGTAGGTTGAGACAACACATTGGGATATTGCCTTGATGAGGAAAGCTTTTGGTGTTATTAGCTCATTTCTCTCTTATCTCTGTTAGTAACGGCATGAATATTTTGGGAGCATATATTTCATCAATCAATAAGAAGACGACACATGAAAGAGGAATATTCTTTAGGTCAAACTAATTACCTATTTAATTAGAGAAATTATCTTTAATTTATTATAAGAACATCTCCAAGAAACCAATCTCCACCAAATCTCTTAGAGTAATTTGTATCATCTTTTTGAGGAAGAATAATCATAACCAAATAAGAATTATTCTTCTAAAATCGTAGTACACAAGGAGGCTATAAATACATGGCTACACCAAGCATTCAAGGTAATTCCAATAACTCTACAAAAATCCTCTCTCTCTCCTTGCCGTCGCCCATCTCATCTCTACCTCTCCCACACAGCTAACTGCCACCACACATGGCTAAGCCCATCCGGCTCTCCCTGTAAGAGAAAACTCCATCCATTTTGACCATTACCACATCTTTTATCAAAGATCCAATTGAACTAACTTATGCACCAAAGGGTCTTTGGCCAACATCTTTGGGTGTGGTCTATTTATTCCTGTTTATTTCACAAAAATTGAAGAAGAGAGAAAAAGAAACTCGAAACGCGAAAAATCTACACCCAAATAACGTGAGAAATTTGTACAAACAAATATCACCTCCACATGTGATGGCGTGAGAAGATTACAACCAAAGAGACAAATATGGTTTGAAAGATTAACTTTATATTCTTTTTTAATTATGATGAGAAAAGATTGTTTGTGTCCAATACACTGAGACGACGGTGATGGTAATGACATGAATCATGATTCAATTGTCTGACTTTGTATCGAGAACGATCTTTGAAGGAAGAGGTAAAAAATGAACTGTACATTATCTAACCCAAAAAAAAGAAAAAAAAAAGAGAGAGAGAGCCATAGTTTATCAAATATTTATCCCTACAAGTCTTTGTTCAAATTGACCGTTGGTGTTGATGAACCAACATTAAAAGAAAAGAAAGAATTGTTGACAGTTGTGTTGAAGCTCTGGTCATCACCATAATAATGGAAGGGGGGGAATGGAAAAATTAGCACCTTTTTTTAAAATGAAGTTTTTTTTTTTTTTTGGTCAATTTTTTAAAATGAAGTTAAATAAATAATTATACTCCCAGTTTGATTCGATTTAACACTATTCAATTACAATATTATATATCTAAAGGTCTCCCTCTCTTTGTCTGAACAAAAACAATTTCGTTTTCAACTTTGAATTATTATTACAGTTTTTTAAGCTTTTTAGAAGTGTAGTGAGCTGATTTCGTATATTCATATGAGACTCAAAAGTCATTGCATAAGTTGTCAATGAAGATCTCAAAAGTCATTGGAATAAAAAAAAACCAACATATATAAAATAAAATAAAAACCACATTGAAATTGTCCATTGCTTTAGCTGCAAGCATTAAACTACGTCCCATCTTAGGTCACGAGCAACGGTCTTAAATTTTTGATCGCACATAAGTCTTAGATTTTATGGATTTATGACCAAAAGTAAGAGAGAATGAATTAATTTGGGATGCAAAGTGTTTTCTTTTACAAACTCGATAGTATTTACATTACTGTCACTCCGTTAATTTTCTAAGTCACAATCTCAATTTATTTTATTTGTTGTTTGTATATATTCAGCTGTCAAATTTATTTTTAAATATAATCCTAATAGATCAGACATGTCACATGCAATGCGTGTAATTTGATCGGGGATAACAACTTTAATTATTAGTTTATCTCAACAAAAAAAAAACTTAAATTAGTTTATAATTAATCAAAGTTAGTTGACAAATAGTATTCACTCAATAATAATAGATGAGAAAAAGAAAATTGTGAACACAAAACTAATATTTAAAAAACAACTGCCGGACTGTCGGACCCCACTAGAAAACATGTAACCAACGAGACAAATAAGATAAGAGATTCGAGGTAGTTTCTTTCGCACGTTGTTTTAAATTTAATTTCATGCATTCTAGAATTGTTGAAAAAGCATCCGCATGCATTATATTAGTTAGTTAGGTAGTTTAAATATTGTAGCGTTACTTTTTAATCTATAGAATATTTTTTTTGCTTCTCCTTATTAAAATGGAATCTAGGAATATTTTATTTAATTTTCTCGATCTGCCCTTTTTGTTTGTTTTCTTTTTGAAAGAACACAAAATCTGGTGTGCTATACCTAATTTGTTGGAAGATGCTTATTGGTGCGGGGTTGACTTCTTCTCAATTAAGTTATCCTTTTCTTCTCCCAAAGGATATAGGAATGGGGTTTTCCATGTCACATTTTGAGTTGCCCGTAATAATTACTTTCTCCTCGTATTCTTATGGAAGTTTACGGTTAATTTCAGTTTGGTGCTCTGAACTTTTCCATATTAAAAGTGTTAATAACGGTATTTTCAATCTTAATATTTTCATATCTGCACCTTTTAAAATTGTTGCAATGCGGATGTTATATAGTAAGCATATGACTTATGTTGTCAACAAATGATCAAATTTCGTGCAAGTATTTTTTAAATGTCATTTGTTATGGTATTGTGACTTCTTTTAAATGATATTGTGAATGGATTATATATGGAAATGCAATATGACCAAAATCGTTGTGCTTGCCAAAATGCATCCACTTCTCAAACTTGTTCCAAATTACACATAACAAAACAGACTGCCTACTGCATGGAGGCAGGACATGTGGGACTTTGGCTAGGATATGTGCCAAATGTGGGCACACTTGAAATTGGGACTTTGGATATGTGGGAAAGTAGTTTAACACAAACTACCCACCATTTCCAATGCAATCTATTGCCTTTACTTTCTTCTTTTCAAACTTGCCCAAGAGCATGAGACATATTTTACCCTCATACGTAACGTCATCATCAAGCCTCTCCTCATTAGCTTAACCCTAATTTACTCCATCAATATTGTCTTGGACTAAGCATCCAATATCTATGAATTGAACAACTCACATAGATTGTTCATAAGTATCCCACACTTCAAATTGTTGTCAAAATGTGAACCTTGACCAATTCATGTCTTCGTAGTCTTTCTGGACTTGTTCACAAGACGTAATATGATTAGTAAGTCAAAAATAAATTCTTGAATTAAACTCAGAAAATAAATTCTAGAAGCAACATTGTACTTGTAACCCACTTATATACTTCATCATTCATTGGTTACGTTGATAATGAACCTTTCAACATCTTTCGACTCATGAATAATATGTCCGAAAATTCATTCATTCAACAAGATAAAGAGCTAATGAAAGTTCATGCATGCCTGGCCACCATATGGCATTGACTCCTTAAGGGAGGGCGCTCTCGAAGAAAATATTTGACTCCTTACATAGTTATGCAATGAGTCATCATTTTACATACAAATTACAATTTGACATATACGTAAACCATTTTCTTTAATTACGCATGCAATGTTCAATAACTGGTAGTCCATTTGTGTTTTATTTATTTTTAATCCTAGCTTAACTTAATGTTATTGAATGTAAAAATATTCTTATTAATGGAGTGTTAGTTGAATTGGCTCAGGTCTTTGGTGTGCTCCTAAGTAATATTGGCTTCGAACCCCCATGGTATCTGTGTACGTGAGTGTTCCCTCTACCCTTCCTAACTTTGGCAAAAAAACCAAAACCAGGTAAAACTTCAAATTGGGAAAATAAATTTGGGCTTGAGAAAAGAATTGGGCTAGAATTCAATACGTACAGGTCTGGGTTTGGCATTTCCAATATGACTGACCAATAACAATGTTAGTCGGCCTTGTGCTGTAGCGTAATTCCCATGTTGTCGTAAGTCCCATTTTCTCCCGGATGTCTGGCTCTGTTATTATTTGTGTGACACAAAATTTATGTCACCTTTGGCTCAGAGTAAAGGGGAAAAATATTTTCTAAGTTTGATTTTTCACACTCATTTTCCTTTGAAAATTTATGACCACTAGAGCTGAAATTCTAGTAAATCATAGAAGGATTCTCATATGAGGGTAATAGTAGGAAATAATGGAAAGTAAAAATTGATATTTATAAAAAACATAAATATATAAATAAACCTTGACGTTTAAGTTTATATGAATATATCTTTGTAAATAATAAAGCTAATAGTTCATAACATATTCCCTGACGATCAATATGTTTACCAGTATCAATTTTTCTTTTCGCACTCAAGGGTGCAAGAAATTGTAAGAAACTTTGTAACTCAAGTGGTTAGTCGTATTTGCCTTGATATTTGAGATGTTATGTTGAATTCTCCCTCTCTTACTATTGAATGTATCAAAAACTAAATAAAATTAAAGAGTATGAGACATTTATTCAGTTTTTTTTCAAAAGAAGATTTATATATATATATATATAGATCAGTAGTCTTATGTTTGACCCCTCATGAGTGACACATTGATAATGTGTATGTATAAGAAACTCATTCTCCTTGTAATTTAGACTATTGCTTGTATTTTTTTTTTATAAAAAAAACTCAATACTACAAATAAATTCACATGTAATTACAAGAATATGTGTGAATAATTGTTACTATTATATTTTAAATGTAATTTTTATCGTGATCATATTATAACACATGTATTAATAACATCACTTTGCCATTGTATTAGGGTGACACGCAATTTCTTTCCCAAGGAGTGCGTGGAAATCTGAGGATTCGCTTCCTTTCTTTACATTGTATAACAACAATTAAACGGAAGTTGTCATACTTGACACGAAGCCTTCCATGTCCGCTGAAGATATTCTTCTTTCACAAATTTATTTCCCTCTTCTTGTGAAATACCTTTGAGTCTTGAATGGTAGAGATTTGTTGTTCCTTCATGCACTTCCTTCCTTTCCTTCCTCAGAGGACTTCTGCGCGTGCCCTTCACGTGCTGTCCTCCTCCTTCTCCTCTTCCTCCACCACCTTTGGTTCCTGCAAACAGGCTTGGTACCATCGCTGCCTTGGCCTTGACCCCCTAAACACTTAATCTCTCTCTATCTCTCTCTATCTCTCTCTCTCTCTCTCTCTCTCTGAAAGTTCATTTGTGTTGTGCTGTGTGTCTCTTGTTTGGGTTGATTTCACTTAGGTGTTTGGAAAAACAGAAAAAAGCAACCAAAAAAAAAATCAGAAAGAAAGAATGCTGAAGAGGAGGAATGTTTTAGAGAGAACTACGTTACAGCAGAAGCATAAGAAGATCAACAATAATGAAGTTCACAGCGTGAAGAAAAACAGGTTTTTGATCACAGTGAATGTTGTTGGAAGCGCAGGGCCAATAAGGTTTGTGGTGAATGAAGATGACCTTGTTGCTGGGGTCATCGACACTGCTCTCAAGTCCTATGCTCGTGAAGGCCGCCTACCACTTCTTGGTTCCGATGTCAAGGATTTCCTTCTCTACTGCGCTAACGCAGGATCTGACGGTACAATAAAAAAAGGATTCATTCTTTCATGTTCATGTGTTAAAATCTACGTCGCTATGCATACATGTCAAAGTGTAATTTGTTTGGAATAACATATATTCACTTAATTAATAGGCCTGTTAATTACATTTTAATTCTATATATAACTTGTAGCCTTAAGTCCATGGGAAAGTATAGGATCTCATGGGGGAAGGAATTTTGTGCTGAGCAAGAAGCAGAGGGCAGTGCAGAATGTTGCAGAGAGAAAGCCAGAGATGACAGCTCCAAAGGGATCAGTTAGTAGCTGGAAGGCATGGCTCAACAAATCATTTCCTTTCAAGATATCATCTCACTGAGGCTACTGAATCTTCTCATACCATAATCTGATGTTTCAATCAAGTCTCTCAGACGATTGAAATTATTAAAGGTTTTATGTTATATTCTCTGCTGCCAACCGTGTAAACTTATGCCTTATTAATTAATTAAATATGAGCCAAATTGTTTTTGGCATATATTCCTGACTTTTAATTAATTTCAATAGAGTCCTTTAAAATATGTTCCTACCTTTGATTTCCGGCCGTCATATTGGTCCTCCTACTTTAAGAAAGGGATGCCTTGATGAATTTTTCAGAGGATTACTTGGTCGGTGGAGGTGGAGGTGGAGGAGGTTGTTCGAAGAACTTTCATCACATTCATTCATTCATGGGGGAATACGAATATAACTTTGTCAAAATAGAGGCTCAGCTTCAACAAAGCTACTTTTTTTGGGTAAGAAGAAAAAGAAAAAGTGGCTGTGTGACTTGAAGCACTTTACCAGCATCCTAATTGGTTATGATTGTTACAAACCAGTAACGAAGTCTTTGTTACTGGTTTGTAACAATCAAGAATTAAGCTTCGATGTTGAAGTATTATTATGGTTATGATTTAAAAGTTGTGTAGTTCAATCGCTTTCAAACCTAGCTAACGGAAACCAATATATGAATGTTTGTGTTGCTCACTCGTACGACAGCATTTGGATGGACGGTAAGCATCTGATGATGGTACAAGATGATACATAAGTTGCTAGTCTATTTGTTGCAGTAGTTGTGATTGCTGGACATCAATCAGTAAATTATAAACCGAAATGTGTCAAGATGAGACGTGTGTTGTCATGGTGTTACACTAAAATATTTCCCACCACGTGTCAACCAGGCCGAAAAACCTAGGAACAAGGGCGTCCTTCGGGTTTGTAGATTGTGGAGTGCTAGTGCGCAGTCGAAGGCAAATCATACACTTGAAATGATGGTTTGCGAGTGAATAACTTCTTCATACGACTATGGCCGAGGAAGAAATACCTTTCGACCGTAGGTCCTCTGGTGAACTCAGAATTTTTTAGCGGATGTGCAATTTTGAAAGGCTAAAAGTTTTATTAATCTGATTCAAAACGACATTGTTTTGGCCAGGATGTTTTTTAAAAAAAAGAGGCACACTTCAAGCAGCAGCGCAGCACATAAAGACAAACTTAATTTAGACAATTCGTTGAACACCTTGAGTGCACCACCAAAGGTGCAATATGCAGCGCCTTCCAAGACTTTTCCAACTAGAGGAGGTGTAATTGCACCTCCTTGCATTTGTAAGGTTTAAATTTGACAATTTTTAAGTTTCTTAATCCTGCTGACATTCTTTCCAGTTTAGAACCTCTGGGCTAAATAGCCATATCCAAATGATGGATCACGTGCTTATTTAAATTGTGACCCAATCTCGCTTACTTGGGCCGTTTTGGGCTCTGTATCCTTTATTTTTGCCTCAGCCTAAGTCCATGTAAAAATGGGTCCAAATACTTGATATACTATTTTATTTTATTTTTGGTCTGAAACATTCACTACGAACATCCATGTTTTGACATTTATTTTCAATTCATACGTATAGTTGTTGGAGTACGGAAGAATGGAGTTTTAAATTAACTTGTATATTTGTTAGTCCTATATAAACTTAGTATTCAAGAACTGAGCCTTGAGCGTTTAATTCATATAGGCCCTAGCCCCAGTATTTGACTAATGAATATAGAATATATGTTGAGGCAGCAGAACGGCTTCTATTTGTAAATCAGTAATCTCATGTTCGAATTTTTATTGCACCTTGACAGTGTGTGTGAAAAAACCTCTCTCTCTCTCTCTCTCTCTCTCTCTCTCTCTCTCTCTCTCAATATAACTTGTATTAAATATATATATATATATATATATGTTGCAACACTTTTTTTTGTTTGAGAAAATATGATATTTCATTAAACCGAAAGGAACATTACATGATAAGAACTAGCATGTTAATGGCGGCCTCGTTAAAATCTTCCCAGAAAAACAAAATTCCTGAGTATGAAAAAGTACCACCCATGCTATTGACTAAACAGAAGAGTCAAACAACTTATACAAAACAAACCAACCTAAAACTCAACCACAAAACCCTTAAAACAACATCTCATCACTACGTAGGTATTGTCAAAAAAGTCCTCCTATGGTCTAGAAAAAGCATCATAGTTCTTCGTACATAGTCAAAAATGTACTATGGGTATCATAATAGATCTAGCCAATTACCCAACCGCAAAACCATTGAAACAAATATCATCACTACGCAAATATTGTCAAAGAAAGCCTCCTATGATCTAAAGAAAGTATCATAGTTCTTCGTACAGAGTAAAAAAGGTATTGTGAGCATCATAACATATCCAACCAAACATCAACCGCCACCTCAAATTTTCTTGATCCAGAACCCCAGCTAACAAACAAGAGCTACACTTTGATGTACAAAAATACCAAATAGTGAAATTGAATAAAGCTCGCTTTTCTCTGGAAAAAAAAATATTGAAAATAACCAAAAAAATCATTAAATTTAGGTTCTTTGAACTTTCAATGGAGACCACTTTGGCCTCTGGTGGCATGGACTCCACTTTCACAATGCACCATTTGGTATAAAAATTAAATGAAATGGAAAGGTCACATAGTCACACTCACTCACACTGCATTTTCTGTTTAATAACTCATCCTAATGAAACAAGATAGAATTAATTATCCTACTAATAATTTAAGACATTGGTTCAGCTCTTAGGGCATGCAAGACTTGCAATCTAGCAGATTTCACATCATAAAGTTGATGGCCTTCCAATCATAGGCTAAGTATAGAAATATATTTTTTTTTCTACTTTGGCTTCTAACTTATTATTTTATTTATATGATACGTGGACGGCACGCTGAGAAATTGATAAATCTAACTAGTAGATTGTGTTAGGGACAATGAGTCAATTATAGTGATTGCAATACCTTTAATTTTCCAACACTGAGGGAGATTGAAGCTTGACTACAAATGGAGTGATCAAGCAAATCCTATTCATTAATCACATCTTTAGATAAATAAATAGTTAATTAATTATTTAATTGTGTAGAAAGTGGAGAAAGCATTTTACACTCATGAAAAAAGAGACTTTAGGAGTAGTTATTGAGAAGACTTTGCACTTGAAAAAATGGGAGCTGTAAAGAAGCTTTGAAGGGCCCTTGTGTTTGTCAAAAGAAGCAAACATAGTGCATGTGTGATGAGGTTGTCAAAATCAATTGAACCACCGGTCAATTTCAAGGCCCCCAGCACAATGAAATTGTCTGCTAGACTTATCTTAGAGAAATTGACCCTTGATCCCAATTCATTTGTGTTTCTGTTGAATTAATAAGATTATTGGATGAAGTATAATTTAAAGAGAGTGTATTGTTATAATTAATTTGACACTAATAATTCTAATCAAGCATCGTCTTGGTGCCATACCCTCAATGCAAAGCTTAGCAAGACCACCACCCATCTTATGTTCGCTTGGCTTCTTTATGAGTGGTGTTTTTTGGTAAATATGTAAAAAGAAATCCTAATAACAACAACACATGCGTGTAAGTGACTTTTAATGGTTTAATTTATGTGAACCTCATTGTGAGACTCATTTATATCAATGATCGGGAGATATCTAAGTACACGTCGATGATTGTCCTAAACACTATGGCCTCGTTTGGGATTACTTTTTTTGGCCAAAAATTTGCTTCACTTTAAAGTTAAGCAGTTCAAGGTGTTTACTATAAATAAAATATCCTGATTATTTTAAAAGCAGTGGCCTTTTGACAGCAGCTTTTAAAAGCAGACTCTTGGTTGCTTTTCAAAGCTGCTTTCAAAAGAAGCAGATATGAACATTTAAGGAATTTTTTTATTTCCCAAAATACCATCATTCATTTTAAAAATGATACCACCTCTATTTCCACATCCAACTCCACCATTTGCACTACCACATTCATTACCTCTACAACCACCGCCACCACCACCACCACAACCACTACCTCCTCCACCACCTCCACCTCCACCTCCACCTCCACCACCACCACTATCACCACCACCACCATCATCACCACTACCACTACTATCACCACCACCACCACCACCACTACCACCACCTCCTCCAAAACCTCCACATCCACCACCACCTCCACAACCAACAACACCACCACCTCCATGTTGCCATTGCCACCACCACCACCACCTCCACCTCCACAATCGCCATCCCCACCACCACCACTACCACAACCACCAACCCACCTTCATCACCACCACCACCTCCACTCCATCACTACTACTACCACCACATGATTAGTACATAACACTTTCAACATCATGTCTATTTTAGTCATTATTTACAGTTACAATAATTTTATATTAAAATTTACCAAACGGTTTTGACACTGCTTTTTATACTAACAGCACTTTAAAAATATTGTTTATCAAACATTGAGCTGCTTTACTTTACAGCTAATTATTTTCAAAGCACAATATAAGCAACTTTTTTTAAAAGTGATAGCAATCCCAAACTAGGCCCATACGTACTCTTGAAGTGAAATCGATTACTATTGATGGAAACTCTATTAGAATTTTAAGCCGTTGGAGACACCATTTTTCTTTTTCTTTTTCTTTGATGGGATTACCGTGATGCTTATGAAAACTCTCTTCTCTGTAACTCGTTTTTCTCACGGCCTTATACTACAAAAATAAGTAAAAAAGAGGATGTGACATGTACCCCACAGCCAGAAAAAAACCATATACCGACCTCTTGCTTCTCAATGGGAAAGCTACCCCTTATGAATCATTAACTAATTGTCGGTTTTTTTTTCTTTTTTCTCTCTGCTTTTTCTTTTTCTGTTGAAAGGAGAAAAGGAAGATATCATTAAATTTCGAACATGAGATGATTAATCAATAGGAAAATACTCTTACTACTGAACTAAGGATCCGTTGGCCTCTCCCTTCGGCTGAAGGCATTTAGTTACTTCATAATGTCTACAACTAATAAAAAATTTATGAGAGAAAGGGGTTGCATGAGTTCAAGAAATATATGGTCCTTCCAACAATAAGTTTTTCTCACGTACCTATTTGTCTACCATGTGCAGCATAGTGCTGCCAAACTCGT